AATGGTAAGGAGTTTCAGAACAGAAATTAATGTCCAGCTTTGCACCATAAGATTCATTCTCCAGAGGGATTTCTGGAGGGCTTTTTGAGCTGGGACCGGATTTATTTTGAGCTAAAGGACAAATTACATCCTACTTTTAATGTAAATGTGGCCTACTGTATATAGCAGCAGATTTTCTAGAAGTCAGCTTAAAAACTCTGTTAATACATTAAAAATACATATTTTGTGTCAGTTTGTCCTTGGATCTGCGACCATTGATAATATTATTTATTTTTTTCATATTTATGTGATCCATTCATATCTCTTTGACAGATACTGTAGCTATTTGAACAGATAAATCAAAATCTCTGATGAATTCTTAGACATTTGGGACTTAAAAACATGTTTATGAGAATAAAATGCAAGGACGTCATATGTGAATAAATAACTATATATACAGTATATATATTTAATAAAGTCAAAGGAAACTGTTCTCTTTTACTAATTTCAGCAGTCAATGTGGCAGGATAAAAAAAGCTAATCAAAAAGAGAGTGCATCCGTCAACTCTTCCTTTTTTGTGTCAGAGGATTCACACATTGCAAAGTCTTATTTATAAACGCCTTGTTTCCTCATAAAAGTAATGACAGGTTTGTATTTCTGGTTCAGATGTGCCACACTTTTTCGAACTAAAGCACAGTGCCGTGTACGTGTGGTTGACACATAGTAGTTTTATAGATTAGATAACAGACAGCTTGTCAGAGAGTAACCAGTTTCATTCAATCAACCACGTCGAGTTTAGGTAACGTTTTGGTTTGTGGTAACACCTTTGCATGAAAAAGGAGATTTTTTGTTTAAAATAATTTGATCATGTATACGATTGTTAAACAAAGCTACTTCAGCCCCTTTGATGACATGCATGTGTTCATGTATTGTTGCCTTGTTTGGAAAATGTAATACTCCAAGTTTCACTTTAAAACTCTGAGAAGTTATCATGGTAACTTGACTCACCATGCTTTGCATTTACTCTCACAAAAAACCTGCTACTTGTTCAATTTCAATGTTGAGAGCCATCTTTTAATGCATGTTCTGGACTTGAAACAGATATTAGTATTTTATGTCAAACATGTTGTTTTTATTGTTTGATGAAAAGGGCAGAACAAGGGGATTCTCCTTCTTTTTCTCCAGCTATGAGCAGGTTCTGGATACGTATTGCTATTTATCAATCAGCGATCGATGCATATGATTGTAATGCAGAGTGCTTGGCTTCAGAGTGCTATTGATCGGCTGCAGGGTTGGGCCTCATGCCAGCTCTCATTAGTGCTCTCTGTCCTTTCACCTTTCTTTGTCTCTCCGTGGCGCTGACGTCGGTACCTGGTGATTCTAACTGATGACAGCCCTAAGTGCTATAATAGAAATGTATTGATCACAGGTGTTGTGAAAGTTTAACACACACACCACAACACACAAACATCACATGGAGGAGAAAAACAGGGAGTCCATGTCCTGCAGTACATGTATGTTTGACCTCACGACGCTCACACTCAGTTGGTCCCACATAAAGAGTTTAGTTTGTAATGTGAAGACAGGGTCACCCTGGTGGTTAGACGGACCGTTTTAAAAACCAGAGAAGCAGAACCACCGTCAAAGTGTCCTTGAGCAAAACATACCTGCCTATCTGCAGCTCTGGTATGTTTGCACACATCAATGTTTGACTGACGGTACAAGACAAAAATAGCAGTAATATACACATCTGGTTGTTTGAAATATGCCCAGAGGGTTTTCTTAATAATAAATGAATGTTCAATATTTCATAAAAGAATGTTGCTGTCACTGAAGTGTTGAAAACAAAATATTCCTTTTCATTTTGTTCTTATTTTTTTTTTTCAAGCAAAGTAACATCCAGAAGTCAACCCCTTTTGAAATACGAATTGCAAAATCAAAAAAGGAAAAAGTGTAATTATAATGAAAACATGAATGTAAACAAACAAAAAAATATAACATGAAAGGTATAGCAAATTAAATACAATATTAGGAGCCTTCATCGCTACATCTTTTGAATCTATGTGAAATAAATTATTGACAATTGACAATGATGACAATTTTGGGATATACATAGACTTGAAACTAGCCTAGTTTTCTTTAGAACCCCTAATCATAAACACATTTTGTAATTACAGTGAGTTATGCTAAGCTAAAATAACTATCTTCCTCAATGGAATAGAACCTTGTCATTACGTGTTTGCAAAATGACAAACCTTTCCTTTTAGGATGAGTTATTCTCTCCATTGTTTTTTTCCGCCCAAATATTCCACATCTTTGTCTACCTTTTCCCTCTTTTATTATTTCAGTGTATTTCCTTTCCCAATGTTTTAATACACTTTCCCCGCTCCATTGTCTCGCAGCGCAGACACTCCGTTTATTGTACGAACAGCAGTCGGACAGTTCATGGTTGTTTCTTCTCATATGGATTGTTACCAGCTTGTGCGGTCCAGGGCGCCCTGCCCTCTGAACCCTCATTCTGTCCACCCTGCATGGTGGTATTGGGTCCAGCCTCAGAGTCAGCGACCTCCGCCAGCAGCTCCGGTTTTAATCAGCTGCTCTCTACACACGGGCAACCCAAGCCGCCGCTTCCTGCACCTTAATGAGTCCAGAGTCCCAGGCCAGACCCAGCTCATAGTCTCTCCTCCTTTTCACAACACAGCAGAGTGGTGGTAAATACAGCAATGCTACATCTAACGAAGCGAAACATTTTGCAAGAACATTTTAAAGGCTTTCAGTTATTTCTGACAGCAACCCGAGGTGGGAAGTAGTGGAGTACAAATACTTTGTTAATGTACTTAACTACATTTTTCTGGTATCAGTCCTTTACTCCACTACATTATTTAGAGTCATTGCGTGCCTGTTGATTTTAACACGATCCATGTATCCATCATTTCCTGGTCTTCTCTAAAGAAGAAGGACCAATGAAAACGTTGTAATTTTGCCGTTGTTCAGCATCGAAACATTCAATAGCTAACAATGACATTATTGTTCTATTAATATAAAGTGAGGTCAGTCATTCTTTAAAACAGTTGGTAGTTATGGGTATTTCTTACTTAAGTACATTTTGAAGCCCATACTTGTTTGCTTTTACTTGAGTTAAGAAGTTTAGTAAGTGCTTTTACAGTACCAGAGTATTTTCAAACAGGAGTGTCTGTACTTCTACTTGAGTAAATGATGAGTTTACTTTTGCCACCTCTGACAGTAACTCAATTACATCAGTGGAGAAAAAGAGAAATCTAATTTCATTGCTGTCTTCATTTATGATTTGTAATGCCGGCCAGTTAACATTTTGAGCACTTTCTTACAGCTAACATGTTATTTATTCTACCGTATTATCAGGTAACAATAATTATCTTCACCTGTTGAACCTCTTGTGATTGCCTATTGTCCACGCACATCTATCTCTTAAACAAAGTTTGAATATTCTATCTGAGTTATCCCAACTTTTTAAATTAACTTTGATCGGGGGCGTGCTGGTGGCTTAAAGATAATCACATCAAGGGCACGGAGCCTGACCCGCGTGCTGCGCATCAGTACGTTTCTGCTCGGTGAAAATCACTCAATCGGCAATTGTTGTCTTGCCTTTTGTGGGAATGTGAATAGCACCTTATTGATTGGAAGCAAAATGTTTTTAATGTTGTGGATGAGATTTCAGGATTGCTAGCTAATGGGAAGATGGAAGCGCACTGCAATCTATTCTCAAGTCAAGTCCCAAATTGAAAATCTTTACAGGCATAATTAAGGCTTATCTGAAAGGAATGTCAAAAACTTTTCAAATGCTTTTTTATTTATTTATTTCACCCTTCTAATCCTGCTTCTCACGTGTAAATACTCAAACGTGCTCAGAATAGTGATGAGTCTATGTAGAAACTAATGAATATAAAATAGAGGGCAGTATTGATGTTTGATCTAACTTAATAGCAATGAATATGTGTCCTTGTAATTGATATTGTAATGTTCTTTCACGTACATAAGCAGTTTAGTTATGTAATCAAGTCATTTTCAAGTTTTTTATGTTGTATTACCACATTAGTGTAATCCTAATGGAGAAATTCTCTCTTTTAATCCTCTGGTGGGGGTGCAAGGTCAGTGGATTAAGTATGTTATTCAAGGGTATGTGGACAGGTGGGGCTGCATGGGGTTCAAAGTCAGGCTCCTCCACCGGGGGGGTGATCTGGATTTCAAGTAGCCACTGTGTTCAGAGGTTTGAAACAAGACTGTGCTTAACACTGCTCAAATACCCTCAGCCAGACTGTGCCCCCTGTGTCCACAGTCTTAGTGCTAAGCTAAGCTAACAGTAGTTTCACATTTAGAGAAGGGTGTCAATCTTCTTCAAGACACTGAATCTTCTTCTTTGCACCAGTCTTTAAGGTCTTGATTTCATATAAAAACATGCTCAAAATGGGTATATGAAGTTGTCTTCGAATGGAATGTCAAAAAGGTATTTCATTTCTTAATCCACTGTGACATAGATGTCCATTGTTGTACAAAACTATTGAAAACACTAGACACACATGTTCCTTCAGTGTGATGAGTCTGAGCACTGTTTGTATTTCGGTTATCTTAATATCAAATAATGCGTAATAATCCGCATATAAAAAAAGTCCCCAACAAATTGAGTTTTTGCTTCTGTTTTTATCAAAACTGCAGTGCTCATCTCTGTCAGAAATAACCTCACCTTAAAGATAAATTAATCCCACAAGATATATCGTTAGAAACACAAAGACTTGCAGTTAAGTGACATAGACAGTGAAGTCAGAAAGAGAACAGGCTTTTTCTTTTCATGGGATTTAAAATAACACAAGCTTAATCAAGCAAAAACATGTACCCATTGTGTACATTAAACACATAAAAAGACACATACACACACATAACATATCATTATAACCCTGACATTTGTTGTCAATGCCTTTGTCACAATATGGAGTTACTGCCGCAGTAATCGCATTCTTAACCCTGTGTGTGTTTGTGCTTCCAGTTCATGTGAAAGCGGGAACCTGTGAGGTGATTGCGGCACACCGATGCTGCAACAAGAACAAGATCGAGGAGAGATCCCAGACTGTCAAGTGCTCCTGCTTCCCTGGACAGGTGGCGGGAACAACAAGAGCGGCTCCATCCTGTGTAGACGGTATGCCAGGATCCTCATTATAGTTTCTGTAATGACTGACTTCTGATTCTGGTAGAAATGCGACACAGGTACAGAATCTGTCACACCTGTCACTGTGCCTCTGGTGCTTATTTCCCTGATTATCTTGGAAAAGAGGTTTATTGTAGGGAAGGAGAAAAAGATACAGTGTTGAGATTTCTGTGACCCTGTTCCTGTGTCTGGAAGCTTTTATAATCTCCAAAAATCCTATCTCCCACCAGTTTATTCACTGACCCTTTTGTGTGGAGTCGACGCCATGTGTGTTCAGCTAGAGTAGACAGAAGGCCAGGTCATTTGATATCATGTCAAAAGTGGCCTCAGTTACAGGTGAATCGATCCCTATCTCCCCTTTTCACTTTAATGGCTCAGACAGGGGCATCCTCCGTTACGACAGTTCTCGTTTCACTTATGAAATGTCTGAGGATGATGCTTCACCCCTAAGGACTCCTTGGAGCAACTTTAGACCTTGAAAAGCCAACCTTTGCTGCACTCTTTAATACCCCTCCTACATACTAACATTCACCCTGCTCACACTGTACGCTCCTGCACAGAACACTCATCAGCTTGACATTGACCCACAACCCGTCATTCAGACCTGAAAACATACCAGGGCAGGGCTGACGTACCTCCTCCGAGATCAAAAGACTTCAATCCCTGTGATGTGTATGCTGTAGAAACCACAGGCACCTCTTGTTGCTCCTACCAGCAGAACCTTCCTACACTTTCAAACAGCGTGTTGATAATTGCCTCCTTGCCGCCATTTAAAAAAACAAAAAAGGTTTTCTTTCTTGTTGATTAAAGATCAGAATCATTATTGTTATTTACACATTCAAGGGATTGCCATCTTGTACAGTGGTGAATACCTAACAACAGTCAGAGGAAGTTGGAAAACAGGAGGAAATGTAAAATAAAACTTCTTATTACTCAGTTTAGTGGAATTCTCTATTCTGATTAGTCAATTTGGACATTTCAGAGGTTGTTAATTCTTGCTAAGAGACTGCTGTTAAGGAGGAATGAAGGACTTTGTGCTTTTTTTTTTACTGACCAGCTCGTTGCACATTATGCCTAACTTTAAATAACTTATACGATTAGATACATTTGAATTTGAATATGAAGTCAGTGTTTAAATACAATTATCAGTACAAGTCTCAAGGTTATGTCCAAGTGAATTGCAAGCTAGGTTTTGAAGAGTACTTAAATGGTCTGGCTTCTGAACACACACCTACCCAGCACTAAATAGTAAATAGACACATTTAGCTAATAGATGGTAAATGTAGTGCAGCATTAAGCAAGCTTAAACAGCTTCTTCCTACACTTTCCAACAGTGTGTTGTTAATAGCCTCCTTGCCGCCATTTTTTAAAAACTGTTTTGTTTTTCTTGTAATTTGCTCTCAGCATCCATAGTGGCACAGAAGTGGTGGTGCCAGATGCATCCCTGCATGGATGGGGAGGAATGTAAAGTGCTGCCGGATCTCAAAGGATGGAGTTGCAGTACAGGAAACAAAGTGAAGACAACCAAGGTGGGTTTAATTCAAAAAACTATTCCGAGGAAGATGGTAGATATTTATAAATTATGATGCAAAAAAGTCTGGCTATGACCTCGGATAAAAGTTGTTAAGAAATCTGACCCTAGAATATTGGAGGAGGGTTGGATAAGTGTTTGAAAAAGAAAGAAACAAGGGAGCATAGAGCAGCAGAGTAGGAGGCAGCAGAGAAGATGTGACTCACAGGGTCTCAGATTCACTGAAGTATTTCTTGAAGCGATCGACTTAAAAAGGGGTGAGTTGGGTTCTGCTTTTTATTTAGCTACATCTCGCGATTTGTTGTAGGAGTCTTAAGTATAGACATTTTATTGTATTGTTGCTCAAGTTGCTAATTTGGTAGAGGCAAGTAGATTGTGAAGTGAGCAAAGCAGTACTGTGGCAACACTGGGGGACAGACAAAGATCTTCTGCTGAAGCTGCTCCCAAATAAACACGATAAAAACATCCAATGCTGTGCATGATACAGCCACATAATTCTTCATGCACTACTGGAGCATCAGTTTACTATTTTAAGTTGCTGTCTGTCTGCTGTTCGAAAGAAAACAGACAAAGCACAGGATTCTCTGATAGCATTTAGCATTAGCGTCCAGACGCTAAATCTTCTGTTCATGGTCTGCCTAAAGACTTCATCCCGTCAGGTTTTTTTAGCTTGTATCCTACTTTTTAAGCAGTTCTCCTGTGAATAATGAATTGGTAGATTGTTCATTTAGCTACTGGTTAATATCAATTTAAAGACATTTGTTTAAAATTAATTAATTTTTCTTGATGACATTTATGAACTTGTTCTGTCAAGCTTTTGGTATTAGGCCACCCACCGTGTAAATGCTGGCGCAATTAAATTGATCAGAACTCAAGAATATACATTAGTGCCCATTCTATGATAGCAATGCTCCCCTTAATAATCTTACAAATAAATATATATTTTGAGTGTTTTCATCACAAGCTGAGATCTGGGCTTGTATTAACACAGGACCAAACTACAGAATATTAGTGTCAAAATGATTCATGAATAAACATGATGTGTCACTTTAATGTATTCAACAGCAGGCATTTGTCTTGTTTCTGCATGGATCTACTATGTAATTTCACAGACATCTTAATTGAAGGATGAATGAACATTTGTCAGATTAATCAGCTTGAATAATAATAATCGAAGTGACAAGTAAGTAATTCATACAATCTGAGATCAACTTTCAGCTGAACATTTATTTTTTTATCAAGGTAAAATATATGCAGAAGCAATGTTATCGTGAGACTCCTCAGCTTGAGGTGAGAAATAAGAAATATAGCACATGACAACTGAGCGATTGGAAAATCAATTATCACCTCTGAAATATCAGTGTGAAAGTACACAAGTTCATTGGTAAAATTGGAAAAGACAGCCTGTGGGGACCTGAGCATCCCGCTCACGTGGCTCCATCTCACCCTCATGGTTTCAGATGAAAGAGAGAGCAAGCCCGAGTCGGGTCCTGCCTTTGAAAAGTCAGAACAGGCTTGCATATCACTTCAAAAGTGCCAGCAAGAAGAAACACAAAGGCAAGCAAAGGCAGGAGAAAGATAAACAAACAACAAACAAAAATCCCTCCAGGAAGCCAAATCGTCGGGATGTGCTGAGGCAGGCCAGGGGGGCTCAAGCTGTGGCACTTCAGAGATTAATAGAGGTTATCTGGACCTGTGTTCTGGGTGTCAGGGTGTGGTGGACCTGAAGTGGATGGGGGTGAGGAGGGGGGGACATATTGGGCCTTTAGCCATCCATCACAGCTCAGTGTTTGACTCACCAAATGCCTGTAGTTGAGCTGCCTCCTCCATTATTCATGGCTACAGCTGGCCTGGACGAAGCAGAGCTTTTTATTTTAGCCGGGTTAATAATTGATGCCCTCTCACACAGCCACGGGAAAGCAGAAACAGAAGCAAAGACAAGCAGGGGTCCAGGTGGCTAGTAGAACCCGTCAGAACCTCAACTCTTTTTTGATTTGGGAGTCAGCGGGGGTCACTCCATGCTCGTGGCCCTGTTGCCTCCCACAGAGGGCCAGGGTCTGCCTGTGTGAGGGGCCCTCTGTACCCGAGCTTCCTGCACAGTTACCATCACCCCGAGTAATAAAAGGAAGAAGGGACGGTTCCTTTTTGCGAAAATGTATGCCGGGTCTTTCGAAATGACTTGACATTTGAACTTTGAATCCTATATATTGGCTTAAATACCAGACAAAGTACAACTTTTGTCGATGAAGGATCAGAAATGTTCTTATTGCCGAGTAAGATTACACACACAAAGAATTTGTATCAATGTTGTCCATTGATGCATGCAAGAAAGTAGGAGGAAGTTGTTAAACAGGAGCAAATATAAAGCTATTAAAAATATATACTGGTAGAATACTCTATTCTGATTGGTCAATTTCAAATTCTTATACAATTATACATAATAAGAACATTAAAGATACATTTGACCTTCTTTAATATAAAGTCAGGGTTCAATTAAATCATACATTATCAGAACAAGTCTCAAGATTATGTCTAATCAATTACAAGCTTCTAGGTTTTCAAGACTATATAGATTATCTGGCTTCTTAAAGGTGGGGTATGTCATTTTGGAGAAACCAGCTCGAGCACGGTAGAATTTGAAAATACACAGACGGAAAATATCTGCCACTTCCTTACAGAGCCCCTACTCCAACACACACAAACGCGCACATGACCAATGAGGGCACGAGATAAGTTTGTGCACAGATGGAAGGCTGACAGGCAGGTAGGCCATCCAGTTACTTTAGCCGGGCCGGCTAAAATGATTGGTCGTGCTTTTTACAGTACTACGGCTTCCACAGATGACATTTTTTATGTATTTATTATCAAAGCATTTAATGTATTCATTGCTATCGGGATGTTAAGAGCATTCCATGGAATATAACAACAAGTGTTTCTGAGGTGAATTACCTACCCCACCTTTAAGCAAGCTTCAAAAGCAAGATTTGAGAAGGCACACCAATTAAGAAAACATATTAAAAACTCTTTTTAAAACATACTTGATTTAATGTGACATCAAACAACTAACCATAGTACTCTGTTCCTATTTTTATATCTTTAAAATTGTTATGTTACATATCTGGAAAGCTAATCTGTTGTGCCACAAAAAGCTTATACTACTATACTCTGTGATTCTATTACTGCAAGCTTGTTAGTTGTTATTTTCTCAAAGTAAAAACATAATAATGGTGTAACCTAACTCCTCCAATGCAGTACATGCCTTGAATAGTACTATAAATTATTTCTTCTTTGATGTCCAGCGGTGGCACTGTTGATAACAAATGATGGTGTCGTTTCACCTCATGATGAAGTCCCATCAATAAATCAGGCGTCTCAACACCCTGCAGGCCAGTTGTTCGCTCTTTCTCTGCATGTCCGGGAGCAGCTAGTTTTATAGTCCTGCTGGTAATGTCAGGAATTATAACCCTGGCAGTTCCTGCTTTTCACTCACTATCAATCAGGGATCAGAAGGACCACGGAGCCATTCCACTTGACAGGTGCTGCGATGCTTGTTCAGAATGTGTTGAGGGATTGTGATGGATAGCTGTCTGGGATGGATTTATTTTGTAGACACATTGGATAAAGGCCTTACTGAACCACAAGTGTGTAAAACATTTGTAAAAGCCTTAAACAAGTTGTATAATGACTTGAAGCTTGGAATGTCGTTATTCAGAATACCTTTATTAGTCCTACAGAGGGGAAATTTGCAATTGAACTGTAACATGTGTTTTGGTTGAATTGTTTTTGGCCGATTTCCCTTCGCTTCTGTTGGAAGATGGAAAGGACTTGCTCAAATGCAATTCTCAATCCATGTGCACATCATTGTGTGCATGCATGTTTAATGAAGGCAGTCGCTCATTACACGATCAGCTCATTGGCTGTTTCTGTAACTGACCTGCAGATTAAGGACAGCTCATAGGTGCAGTAGTTCAATAGGATTTCTATTGAATCGCTAAGTTCAGTAGATAAACTTGGTGAATCCAAAACATTTTATTTGACTTCTTCTGCTTCTGGCTTCCCATCCACAAACACTGCCATCTGTGTCTGTTGGTACATGAAACAAAGCAGAAGGCACTGCTGCCATGACTGAACTCTGATCTGTGTTTTAACCCTTTATCCAAAATATTTGTATGCACTTATTAAACATCATCAAATACAATGAATTTAGACTCCCCTGTTGTTATTAATCACTGTGAAGAAAGTATTCATAACTGTACACAAGAGGGAATATTTGCAAATCTTTTAGAAGCTGAACTCACAGGCTCTTGAATCCAACCTCAATTAACTAATTGTTAAAAAAAAACTTTTGTCAAAAGTTTAGCACCAAATTACTGCTGTTGGTTTTAATCAGCCCTTAAATATGTCTAATTTTGTATTTAAAATCACTGACAAGTGTCATTGTAATTGACCATGCTGTGTGCTAGATTGTTGACCCCTGTGTTTTCAGTCAGAAAACACTGCGTGAACAAAGTGATTTTTGGTGTTAAAAGGCTGAAGGACTGCATGAGACATTTAGTCGATTGGTAGCCTGAGAAGAGGAGCTAAATCACTCTATTGATGATTGATTTGTTTTTTATAGTCCATTAAGACATCACAGGAGCCTGACCTTACCTGTAGTTAGCACATGTGGCACTGCATCAAATCTTTAAAATGTAAATATAAAATGTCAAAGGAGTCCAAAGAATTAAGACATTTTTAACGACGCTATAATATTGAGTACTGGCTACTCATGCATGTGCTTCAGTAACTCTCCATCAAAGGTAAGGTCTTAGATGTTTTTGTCAATGGGATTTTGAACCTACAGCTTGGACTGTGGTCTTTCATCTTAAAGCAGCAGGAGCTGCTGTTTGTTCCCCTGATTCCCCTTTGTATGTCTACCCATCGATACCCTCACAGTGACAAACTAAGACACCGCGGCATGCTAATTGTTTTCATAATGCTCCACTTGGCTTCACTTGT